CAAAATGGGAAGCAAACCAACCTGATCAAATCTAACACAATGGCCCGTACCAAGCTGTAAAGCCGCTAAGGAATGGGCTGGCCCATTACCTTGTTTAAAGACGTTATAGATCTTTGCGCGAAGGATGAGCCGTTGCTCGCCGCTTGCCTTCTAAAATCCCCAAGCCCAGTATACTTTCCTGAATCATCCATAAGCAAAGACAACGAACGGATGGCATCCGTTTCTACCTGAACTTCAACAAACCCTTCCACCATAACCATCTTCGAAGCGTAAATCAAAGCTTTTAACTCGGCCTCCTCACTAGAATCTGCCCGGATATGGAAGCTAATGGCCCAAAGCATCTCTCCAGATTCATTTCTCAAAATTGTGCCTCCCTTTGTCGAACCAGGTATATGAGATGCGTCAACGTTGAGCTTGAATTTCTTAGTAGGTCTCTTCCAGCGAATAACTTGAATGCCTGTTGACTTAAATTTGAAATTACTCAAAATCAACTCTTCTTGAATCAAAACAGAATCAACTTTTTTTGTTTTGAGCTTGGTTACTGTGTAAGCACATCTTTGAGTGTAACCTTTTCTCTGAGTAATCAGGTGATCAGAGAGAGGAATAGATTTAGAGCCCCATGTGTATGAAGAGTACGTTTTTCATAAAACCCAACAGATGATACCAGGTAGATTGACTTTGAAAAAATCAGATAACTTTTTTTAACCTTCTTCAATCCACCAAAGAATTAAAACTTATTTAACTGTGGAAGCCTAGAGATAGCAATATCAAAGACCCCCATAAAATATTGCCAAATTTTGTTTGCATAAGAACATCCAAACAAAATATGGTCAGATGATTGTCCATGGTTTTTGCAGAAGGGGCATCTAGAAGGTTGTAGAGCAATTTGGAACCTCTGAAGATTCTCAGAGAAAGGTAGGTATGAATTAACCAGCTTCCACATAAACAATTTGACTAACATATGCTATGTTTATTCCAAATGTGTTGATTTGAGAAAGTGACCGACTTATTGTCTCTTATTGCATTGTATGCAGAAGACAGAGTAAAAACTCCATTGATACCAGGATTCCAATCAACACCACCTGATTCATTAGTAACTCAAATACAAAGATATTTAAATAGATTGGACACCATAAAATATTCCCAACAAACCTCAAGGCTGACACGAAACCATCAACGATCACCACACTTTGTTGTTTGGGTCATTCTCGCATAAAATGGGTTGACCATGTTTTCAGTTTTGTGTTTGAAAATATTTTCTTAGTGATGTATTATGTATATATGATATGCATAAACATTTCCGAGCTTGCTTTTATCAATGTTGTATTAATACTTCTTTACATAAATAGTTCGAATAATTTCTAAACTAATTCCTTTAGCGTGCTTCAGTGAATTTCTTGGAAATTTTAGAATCAATGGATTCAAAATTTCATCTGCATTAACTCAAGAAAGATATTAGTTACATTAAATATCTTACTTCCTCCATTCTTTTTTAGTTACAACACTTCTATTTTCAAGTTTGGCAATGCATATCATTGATCATTAATATATTTAATGCCCTAATTGTAATTTTTTCCAGATGTGTGCCAAATGCGTTCCAAATGCGTGTCGAATACATTTTGGCGTAACATATGTCAACTTTTAATTGCTTGAACTTCATCAATTTGCGGTCTCAGTAAATAGGGAGTTTTCCTCGAATATTACTAAATTAAGACTAATTTTAAAAAATGTGACCACTTTTACATTTGGACAAAAATGTGACTAAAATAAAGTGATAGTCAAATATTCATGACACTGTCGCATTTTCATGTCACTGTCGGGTGTCACTATCATCATCGCCCGTGTCATTGCCGCCGCCGCCGGTCACCGGCCGGCCATAGTGATGACGCCACAGGGACGCTACCACAGGGACGCCGCCGCACTGACACAATTATTTTGGCTACAGTGACGCTGCCACCGCCGGTCAGCAACACCAGCCACCATCTCCCATACCTAGCCGCTACCGCCAAACAACAACACCAGCCACCATTCCAGCACCCAATCACCAGTACGCAACCCTAGCCTAAACCTTCAGCCTCGGCCAGTCACCGCCGCACCTCTTTACTAGCCCCAACAACCTGGACATAACCGCATACCCCTCCTCACCCAACCCAACCTACCTCAGTTAGCCTTGTCCCTTGTGTCACCCTATGATACAACCACGCTCTAGTCCCACCCTAACCCCCTCCTCAGCCCCCAACCACCTTCCCATCCCCAAGCCCCATCCCCATCCCCATCCTGACTAGCAGCTCCCCCACCTCATCTCACTGGCCCGTCTCATCCCCCTGGCCCGTCTCATCTCCCCATCCCCACAGCACCCCCATAGCCCTGCTCACTATTGTCCAGATCTGATAGGGACCTAGCCGATTGAATTGAAAGGAGAAGAAGATATGAGTTCTTAAGGCGGCGTTGCAACCGCAGCACGCAGAGGTGACGTTTCTCTCAACGGCAACAACGAAGTGATGCGCAAGCAAAGCTCGAGGCGGTGACTTCATCCATGGCGGCAGTTGAGCTCACAGGCGGCGGACGCGAGGCGACAGGATGGGAGGCAGCAGAGCTCGAGGCGGTGGCTTCGTCCATGGCGGCAGCAGAGCTCACAGGTCGCGGAAGCGAGGCGACGGGATGGGCGACAACAGAGTTCGAGGCGGTGGCTTCATCCATGGCAGCACCAAAGCTCATAGTTAACGGCTTTGTCCATGGCGGCAACAGAGTTCATATGCGAGATGCGAGATGGAGAAGGATGAGATGAGAAAGCTTGGAAGTCAACTCCAACACTGTGCGAGAAGATGAGATGCAAACGAAGGGAAATGTCGAAGAAGAAAGAGAGAGGCGGGCAGTAAGCCACTTTTTTATCAAGTTTAAAAGTGGTCATATTTTGGTCATTCAAAACCATGGGAGTAATATCCTTGTCATAGTTTCTAGTAAATACTATCATTACTATGTATAGTACCATGAATCATAGTACGACGTAATATTTAGCGGCTGAAGAAAACTGAGTGTAAAAAACCACTAACTATGGCAAGATCACTACAAAATACTGGCAAGAAAACTGAGTGTAAGAAACCACTAACTCAAGAAAATTGAGTGTAAGAAACCACTTTTGGCACAGTTCCGTACAAAATAGGCTGTCGCAAAACCAGTTCATAAAGAATTTGGCAAAGTTATTTCAGGGATCCATGAGTCCGTGCCAGATGTGTGTCAAATGCGTGTCGAATACATTTTGGCGTAACATATGTCAACTTTTAATTTCTTGAACTTCATTAATTTTCGATCTTAGTAAATGCGTACTATCGTTACTATGTATAGTACCATGAATCATAGTACAAAGTAATATTTAGTGTGTGAAGAAATCTGAGTCATCCACATGAAATCTAACTCATTAAAACTAGAACAGGCAAAAAATCAACGTTATTGAGTGGCTCTAAGCATAACTAAATTCTCATCTGTGCGATGCAATAATTAATTACATGTAATACAAATACAATATGAAAGTATATGAAAAGAGAATAAGAAGTTATAATAAAGGAGTGGTAGAAAGGTTGACATCATTCTGGGAGAAGGCAAAAATAAAAGTCAAAGTTAAATAGAAATTCGCATGCCAAACGGTGAGTGGGGCTGGACAGTTTTTTTTTGTTACGTCACATGCGTTTTTCTTCAAAAAAAATATTGTCGTGTTTGTCTGCATTGTTGCACATTGTAAAGTAGGGAGAATACCTCAAATAAGACTAAAACTCATTCATTTCAAAAAATAGGATCAAGAAGTTTAAACTTTCATAAATAAAAAATATTATTTGCAATTCAACAAAAATATCCTTATAAGTTGCAACTGTTGCCCCAGTGCCAGAATCGCAGCTGCCCCAGGATCACAACAATATTTGTGATCCGCTGTGTTAGTATCATTATTATAAAATTAAATCAACTGTCTAAAATGGTCTAGTGTAATTAATTTTGGGCTTAGGCATATCATATACATTCACAAAAAAGAATTTTTTTTATTGTTTCACTAACAAGAAGTTAAAAAGGGAACTTTGAAACAAGAAAAAAGGAATACGGAGTATAAGTGTATAACTATAGTAAAAACTAAAAACCAAACAAAAATATAGGGGTGGGCAAACTAACCGAACCGGCATGATACCGAACCGGACCGGTATGGTACTGAACCGGACCGGTATGGTACCGGACCGGAAAATGGGATTTCAAACGATTCTCAAAAAATTTGTCCCAAACCGTACCGGACCGATTCCATACCATGTCATGACCGGTTCTCATAAAATGAGAACCGGTACCGGACCGAACTGAACCGAATTATAATTTTATTAATTTATACTATCGTATAATTTTATAATTATATACTCCGTATACATGTATACCATATTACCATTACTTTGATTACTCATTTGGTGATTGCTAGTTATTTATGTTTTGTACTATTATAGTTTATAAGAAATTCATTAAGTATGTAATACTACATCTGTCCCAAAAAACTTTTCCATTTTTAAAACTTTGACCAATTATATTTTTTTATTGAAAATTATTTATAATATAAAAATTATATGAAAATGTTCTTTGTTAAAAATACTTTCATAAAAGTATAAAATTTATAACTTCCATAATACTATACTAATCAAAATCATGGTTCAAATTTTTTGAAATGACAAAGTTTTTTAGGACGGAGGTAGTATGAAAATTGATAATTGTGTGGATTTTTGGATGATGACTAAGTTTTAATTTATTGAAAAAAGTGACATTGTTTAGCATTGGTATGACATGATACTGGACCGTTTGAAAATGTAACCGAACCGAACGAGTTTAGATCTAAGACCGAACCGAACCGTTTCAATAGTAACGATCCGGGTACGGATTCGGTAAAATATTGCACCGGACCGGACCGTACCCACCCCTACAAAATACACAAAAATGAGATAGGAACTATATGAGGTAAATTCTACTCCCTGAGTATATATACCTCCTGAATCACTACCCGGCCATCCAAACATCAACTTAAGTAGCTTCTCAGTAAAGGTAGCTTCTTTGTCCCTAGTTTCTTTTCTTTCTCTTGATTTCATTGATTTGGAATGGCGGAGAGCTGCGGCGGCGAAGGGCGGAGCAGTGGTGTGAGGCAGTACGTCAGGTCAAAGGTGCCTCGTCTCCGGTGGACTCCCCATCTTCACTCCTGCTTTCTTCACGCCGTCAATGCCCTTGGCGGCACACACAGTAAGCACCGTTCTATCTCTCTATATATCTCATTCTCTGTCTAAAGTCTTTTTCGGAATCAAAATTAAATCTTGGGTTGCCGGCGGCAGAGGCGACGCCGAAGCTGGTGCTGCAAAAGATGAACATTCCCGAGCTCACCATCTCTCATGTCAAAAGCCATCTTCAGGTTTTATTAAAATTATTTATTCTTTTCCGATTGAGTTTAATAAATCAAGTTTATTTATTCTTTTTTGATTTCCCATCTCATATTTTTTATGTTATCATTTTCCTTTGGAAACAGATGTACAGGAGCTTGAGGCCTAGTTTGGCAGAGCAAGGTAGTTTCTTTTTCATGCTTATTTTTGCCATTTCTATTCAAGATCATCATTCGAAAAAGGGATTGATTTTTTTCGATTTTTCCGTTTTTGTTTTTTCTGGCGAAGTTATTCAAGATTCCCAAAATGGGAAAAACAAACAGGCCCTTGCCGGTACAGTCAACCATCCACCTTCTTCTTCCTCTCCTTCGTCATCATCGTCTCTCCTCCTTCACAACTTCCCTCTCCCGGCGGCTCCACAGCCGGTAACTTCCCACCGGAAAAGAATGTGCGGCGGCGGCGGCGGTAAAGAATGTTTCTCTAGGGGTGGGGGAGAGGGATCAAAAAGGGAATGTCCGAGTCACAGTCTTCTAGACTACGTCTCACTCGGAGTTCAGCCCATGCCTTCTTCTTACCTGAGTCGTCATCACCCGGAAGTTGACTTTTTCAAGGTACCCTAATTAAATACGGAGTAGATTATTTTTCTCAAATGTCTTCCATATTCATTTCCATTTAAAACTGGAATGTCTAACTAATTAAAGTTTGATAAGACGGAAGACTGTAACTTGATTTTAATTGCATGAATATAAATTATTCCCTTCACCCTCAGATCATATCTTGGTATATACTCTCTCTGTTTTTCTGTTTTTTTAGTTGCAAAATAGGGGAATTTTCACTACTATGTTCTACTTGATTACATTTTATTGATTGTGGTATTCTAAATTATATTTTCCAAAAATAATGTTAAATATTTCTCATTATAAATTTGCAAAATCTTAGTTTTTTATTTTTTTTACTAACAAAAAATGAAAGATACTACGTATTAATGATCAAATTTGTGCATTGTCGACCGTTAAAATAGAACGTTGGAATTGGAGCAAGTATATACTCCCTCCGGTCTTTAATTAACTTTACACTTTTCTTTTTGGGCCGTCCCATATTAAACTTTACACTTCCTTATTTGCCTTATTTGGCAAACAAATTAAATCTACACTAAACAGTGCAAAACAGTGTCAAACAGTGCCAAACAGTACATTTCTACACTAAAGTCAAATTTATTTTCTTAATATGTGTGAAGTGAAAATGTAAAGTTTAATAAGGATCCACGGGTTATGCTTTTTTTATAGTACTTGGAAAAGTACACTTTCCATGAGGAAGTACATATGCTTCCTCCATTATACTCCGTATTTCCTAGATCAAATTACCTATTTGATCTGCAATCCTACATCCGTTAATGCAATGTGAGATTTTTTATATTGCTTGAACACAATTTTGTTTATTGCATATGTATTGGGTCTTAATTAATTTTTTTTGCCATTAATGCAAACTTTACTGTAAATTTATAGTAAATGGGAAAATTTAATAAAGTTTAATTAATTGATCAAAAAAAAAGTTTAATATATAAAGGTGATGAGTAATTAAAAACTATTATTTCGTATTAATTAATAGTTAATGATGAGTACTAATACAAACAAAATTGAGAGTAGTTGTGATTTAAGAGCAGTAAAGGCTATGCATTAACTGCGTTAGATGAGTAAATCCTGCACGTAAATGAGGGCCGTTTTATAGCAGGAGAAGAATATTTGACTGTACTCTTGATTTCTGAGTTCACAGTTTCTTTTGGTACTCCGCAGATGAATTTTAATTAAATTATACGGAGTATTTCTTTAGGTAACATCCTTTTGTACAAATCAATACATCATTGGTGTATGTCTCTTATTTTGCCTCTCTACTTGTACAGATATACTCCCTTCTTCCTTTTTTATTTAATCAAATTTGACTTCTCAAGTGAATGGTCTTAAATATAAACCGATTATGTATTTTTACACCAGTAAGGATAATATGAAAATAATATAAAATTGTTCTTTGTTAAAAATATTCTCATAATAGTACAAATTTATTAGGTTTCATATCAATATATAAGTTAAAATAATGGATAACATTTTACCATCTTTGAATTGAGAAGTCAAATATGGCCAAATAAAAAGATTGAAAGTAGTAGTGTTCATTTGTCACAAGAAATGTAAGTTTTTCTCAAAATGTACCAAATTATCTACGTAACGTAAAAAAATGGTATTTTTGAAACGTATCCATAATAAAACTGTTTCGTCAACCGATTTAAAACGCAATTTCAGCAGTTTCAATCGATTTAACTAATTTCAATGTTACTAAATAAGCTCTAACATGGAGTTAATGGAAAAAATTGAGTCACAAAACAGCAATATTAATAGTCCGTATCATGGTTGAAGTAGTATTATTATCGATTAAAAAATACTCATTTAGTATATATACACTAAAATTGTTTGAATATAGTAAATCTACGAAAATTGGTGAAATCATGGTTGAAGCAGTATTATTAGCGATTACATGTGATGGTTGAACAAAACTTTTCAAACATGCTATGATATATAGACTATTTAAGACAATGTATAATGTTTAATAGTTATGAACAATTATTGATGTTGTCTTGAAATCTATATTTTTTTATTAAATAATGAAATTATGCTGAAGCGATATTATTACTCATCATCGGTAATGGTTGAAAGATACATTTCAAGCATACAATGATATATAGGCTTTTAAAAACGATGTATAACGTTTAGAGGTTACAAATTATGAATAATGTTGTTGTGAGATTCAATTTTAGTAACACTGAAATTGACTGAATTGAATGAACTTGAAGATGTTCTGATTGAAGCGGACATTATTATTCATCATCGGTTACGGTTGAGTGATTTCTTTCACATATGAAAAAATGGGCTTTCAAGGCGGTGTGTGACGTTTAGCAGTTACGGACTATTACTAATGTTGCGCAACCCTGTTTTGTCTTTAAATTCCTTTTAGAGTCTATTTAGTACATTGGAATTTACTGAATATAATTGACTAGCTAGTTCTGTTGAAAGATATGTTTCTAACATACAATGATACATAGGCTTTTAAAGACGGTGTATAACGTTTGGTGGTTACAAATTATGAATGATGTTGTTGTGAGATTAAGTTTTAATAACACTGATATTGATTAAATCAATTGAATTTGATAAAATTTTGACTGAAGCCGATGATATTATTATTCATCATCGGTTACAGTTGAGTGATTCTTTCACACATGAAAAATCTAGGATTTTAAAGCGGTGGGTAACGTTTAGTAGTTACAGACTATTACTAATGTTGCGCAACTCAGTTTTGTCTTTAAATTCATTTTAGAGTCTGTTTAGTAACATTAGAATTTTCTGAATTGACTAATTCTGTTGAAAGATACGTTTTTAACATACAACGCTATATAGGCTTTTAAAGACGGTGCATAATGTTTAGAAGGTACAAATTATGAATAATTTTCTTGTGAGATTCTGTTTTAGTAACATTGAAATTGACTTAATCGACTCAATTTGAAGAAATTTTGACTAAAGCAGATGATATTATTATTCATAATCGATTATGGTTGAGAGATTAGTTTCACACATGAAAAATATAGGCTTCTAAAGTGGTGTGTAACTTTTAGTAGTTACAGACTATTACTAATGTTGCGCCAATTTCGACTTCAACTCCTTCTTAGAGTCGTTTAATAACACTTGAATTTATCGAATTGACTAGTTCTATAAAAATTGATGAAATATTGATTGACATCGATTGATTGAATTTGTTGAATTATGATTAAAATTTATTTAAGATATTTTATTAATAAATAAATAAAATCATTTTAAAAATAACAAAAATGTTTTTCTACATTAATTTCAATATATAGATTAAACTAGAAAAGTAACTTTAACATTTCTTATTTTGACAAATATACATAATTTTTCACTTTGAAAAAATCATGCATTTTATAAAAATTGAAAAATAAATTAAAAAAAAAAATTGATTGACAAGACTATAATCTTAGATTAATTAATGCAAGACCATAATGTACATGTTTATGCATTACATGCAATCTGAAAACTCATAAAGGCAAGTGATCCACGTTGACCTCAACCATTACCTCTTTATACTTTGTGCATTGAATGTTGTACTTTTAAAAATATATGATATCTTCCTTTTTACCTACAAAGTGTTCAATTTTTATATTAGTTTATAATTATTTAAAATTATGCAATTATAAAATAATTATACATTTCAGTGTTCCGTTTAAAAATATATACAGATAAATTCTACAATATATTTTAATCTTAAATTAGAATGATTTCTAAATAATCAATTCTCATAGTACCAAACTTTTATTGTTTCAAAATAGAAAAGTGCATGAAGAAAAACATCCTTCAAAAGTTCAAATCATAAACTCGCTATGTCCTATATAACATAGGTTTTTAAAAATAGTAAATGTTATGTAAAGATCTTGTTTTAACTTTTAAAGAGTAAGAAAAAGTAATAAGAATACACAAAATAAAGTTAAAGACGAAATGATATATAAAAAGTTAATTTGAGGAAGTAAAATATTGTCGGAATCTATTTAGGAAAATGTTCATAATTTTTAAAAGTTCAAAAGCAAATGGTATCATAAAAAGATTGCTTCATTATTTTGCATTTAAATAGTGAAACTTGAGCACTCATAACTCTATACAATAACCTCCAAACCTTATTCCCAGAAGATATTGGAGTCATCTAACATGAAAGCGTAGTAAAAAAGGAAAGAAAGATAAAGAAACTAAAAAATAAAAGATAAGATAAATTAAAATAGATAAAATAAAGATACGGAGTATTAAATAACTTTGTACGTCTTATAAACAAGTGGATTATATTTTTTCTTAAATATGAGTATGTACTGGTACACTTCATGAAAATATTTTCATAATAATATTTGATAATAATGTCAAAACATTACAATATTATTTTAGGTTTAGAATATTAACTCTTATTTAGATAGAGAAAATATTGTGCTCTCATTTAATTAGGAAAATCACTTTGTTTTTATATAGAGAAAATTTCAAATGTTTTAATAAAAAGAAATTATCCTAAACAGAAGCAAAAACAAGATAATTTTTCGAAAGAAGAGTAGTAATAGAATGTGTTTTTAAGTAAGTATGAATAATTACTCTCATTTAGAAACAACATTGTCTCACATTAGCATTGTCGTATTAGTTTTTGGCAATGCTATATCATTATGGTAGTACAACAATATCCCTATTTGGGGAAAATGCATATTTATGATGGTTAGTAAAAGTGTAACACAGTTCTATGTATTTATAGAGTAGCGATCCTGTCAGTGAGAGGACCTGCCATTCGACCAAAGTCATTTGGGGTCCTTCTTGGTATAATTTTATGATGAAATATTTTGAACATGTTATTTATCAAGTCTAGTATATGATTACTAAGTTTCATCTTAAATTTCAATCGAAAAGATAGTTAAATAAATTATTTAAAAACACTGCGGTTTAAATATATAAACCACACAGTATTTTACAATTTCACATTTAACTGATTTATCAATTGAATTTTTAGCTGAAATTTGATAGACATAAATTAGATTTGATGAATAACATTTTTAAAAAAATTAATCAAAAAATTCCATAGAGAAAAACCCCCAAATGACTTTGGCCGGATGGTGGGTCCTATCAGGCCGGCTGGATATGAACTGTTCTCTGTCCTCTGTATTTACATAGTGTAAATCTAAATAGTCTACCCAATACCTTCGACTTTAAAATCTATAGTTGACTCCAAAGACAACTATAAGACGTGTGTATTTAGCCATTTTGGAATTGGGAGCTTGAGATTATGAAATGCATCTTCTTTCCGTTACAAAACATGAACACTTTAACTTATCAGTTTATCTCCGATTAAATAGTTTACCTTTTGTTGTCTCGTACCTCCTTTTCATTGTTTTTGGTAGTTAAAATTGATAATTACAACTATCTGTTCTATTTTATTTTCTCAAAACGAACCCATATACATTTTAGCATTATGGAATGGTGGGAGTAACTATCTTTCTATGCAAATATTATACCATATTCCTAAAGTAACTGTTGTATTGTTGGCTTTTCATCTTCTGGATTTTAAGCAGGTTGCTCAGCAAAAAGAAGAAAAATTGAAGTCACCCTCAAAGAAATGCAAACATGAGAGTGATCAAAATAATGGCGGGTATGGATGTGAGAAAGGAGAGGAAGGGTGTCACAATACATTGTCATTAGCTCTCTCACTCGCACCTCATCCCGCTACCGGTTCGTCGACAAGTGAGATGAGTGAAACAATCTCGTCCCTCTCTTTCTCTGATTTTGGCTCTGTGAAGCCTGGTGTCAATGTTGAGTTGTCTATTGCTTTTTGTAGACTGTAGAGATTGATTGTTAATGTATGTTCATCATGTTAAATATGAATTGGATGTAAATTGATTAGTCTGTATTGACTTAATGTAGCAACATTGTCATGGATAACAACATTTTTTGTAATGATTTTCATAATTTCCTCCATCGTTGGTTCTTCTTATGATTTCCAATGATTTCTTTGTTGGTTTTGGCCTGAGAAAAGTGTGAGTTCAGTACATGAACTCGGCGGCTATGGAGTAAAGAGTACATGATCATGCAAACCGGTTCTAACGGTACATGAAATCATGAAACGGGTGTTAATTTAGTACATCGGGCTATTTTAGCAGCTAAACTGCCCAGGTGGCCTAGTCACCAAAGTGATCGTTAATAGGCTTCAAACCCTACCCCGCTCAATTCGTACGCAACCTTGCAAGGAACAATGGCATTTTGAAGACCTAAAAACATTTTGAAGAAGGTTAACCCTAAATTTCTGAGCTTGATTTGAAGATGGAGATGGACTCATCCCAACAAAGGTATGGTAATGTGTTTCGTAAGCATCATTTATTTACCATTGTATAGTATGAATGCATCCATACAATTATATGAATCCATTATTGTATACTTGAATGCATTCTTGAAGTATTTTTAGGGTCGTAAATCGCTTAAGCAGAACATTATAGTGCTTATCATTATTGAAGCAGACAAACAATGGAGGGGCCTACATGTCATGTCCCGTTTGCTATGAAATTGGGCTTCACAGATGATGTTACTGAGGCAGAAGCAGACCTGTTATTTGAAGAGGAGTTCAACTCTAAAAATGAAGATGATGAGGAGCTACTTCATGACCGGAGTTTGCTAAGGAAGCTGGTCACAAATTTTAAGAATCTTCATAAAAGTAAAGGACCAAATACTGATATCCAACCCACAGTTCAAGAAGAGGAGATTTGGGAGGGGATGGTAATGAAACTGATTACTTCAGTTCTAGTGAAGAAGGAAGTTACAAATCTGGTTCTGATCTTGAAGAAGAAGACAGTGTGAGAGTGAAATCCATATTTCCAAGCTTCAATCGTGATGATAAGGTAGAGTTTTCTTTGGGAATGAGCTTTGAGTCAAAAAGTCAAGTCAAAGATGCCATGGACAAATACTCAGTCACCAATAGGTATCTCTATTATTGGGCTAAAAATTGTGCCAATACGCTTAGGGATAAATGTTCTAATTTAAACAAGGGTTGTACATGGATGGTCTACATTGGCATTGACAACAGATCTAGCAGTAAGAAGTGAGTGGTGAAGACTTATCATAGTGAACATACCAGTAACCCAGGGTGGCAGCTACCCTGGAATTGAATTGCAAAGAGCATTCTGGAAGTGCTGCAAGCCTTCATCCAAAAGGGAGTTTGAACAGAACCTGGAGGCTTTGAAATCTTTTTCTCCAAGTGGGCGTGAAGATATTCTTAAGTAGATCCTAAGTTCTGGTGCAGAGCTTTTTTTAATAGGAATATTAAGTGTGAAATTGTTGACAATAATATCTGTGAGGCCTTTAATGGAGTAATTTTTCCTGCTAGATCTCAGTTAAGTTATTCCCAGTTGGAGTATATTAAGAAGTTGGTGATGCAAAGGCTTACAAAGAATAGGGATTTAGGAGACAAGTTGTTTGGTCAGTTAGGACCTAGAATTAGGAGGAGGATTAACAAAACAATAATAGCAAGTAACTATTGGAGGGTCGAATTCAATGGAGCTGATGGATATGAAGTGTCATGTGGGTCTGACACTTACCTTAGCTTGTAGACTTGGACAATAGGAGTTGTTTCTGTGAGCAATAGGATGTATCTGGGATTCCCGGTAAACATGTCATTTGTGCAATTAGGGATAGAGGTCATCCTACTGAGGATTATGTGTCACAGTTAGGACTGGTTCGGTATGGTATACCAAAATTTCAACGCTATACCGCATACCGTACCGAAAATCCGATATTGGTAAATGTCATACCGTTACCATACCGAAACTTTCGGTATACCGAATTTCGGTATACCAAAAATTCGGTACGGTATGTAACCCATACCATTTTATACTGAAAGTTCAAAAAAATAAACTTCTTGGATTTATCTCAAGTCTCAAAACAATCCATAATGAAAATTAGAATATTTATCCAACATAAATCAATGATAACTAATGGTTGTAATAACAAATCTTTGAACCATTGTTGCAGCTCCAAAAGATAAGTAGTCTAACACTTCACTCTTACAATCCTGCAAATGAAAATAAATCAGTTTTGTTGTATTTACATCCTATCAATTTTACATATTTAGAGAGACAAGTGGAACTAGTACATAACAAGAATTGTTGTGAAACACCTCGTGCTTTCAGCACTCTGCAATAATATAGTTCATCTTGCTGTGATTCAAACAATCATTCAACTTGTGTTACATATAATCAGAGGATTGTTCTCAAGAATCATTAAGAAATGTATACTGTCTAAACTCTAAACAGCTTGGTAGGAAGTTTGCATTATGTTTGGAAACCCCACTACGAAACTACGAGAGAGAAAATGGGGAAGAATTAATACAATTAATCATCACAAATCCCTTTAATACATCTTTAGAACATTTGTGCTGATGCAAAAATATTCCTTCACGGTTCACAACCACCGTTTTTTAAATCAAGAATTTTGAAATGTTCCAAATTCTTTATAGGGAAGCATATTGACAAATTTTTCCTCATTGTAAAGATTTCATCTTCTTCATCTCGAGTTAGAATTAAATCACCAACTCAAATATAAATTCAACTCAAATGAATCTCAACTCAAATAGACACAAAAAAGAGGAAAAATAAAGGAGGTGGTTTTGAGAATGGGATCACGGCATAAATCAAAACTTATTAGTTAAAGACCAATATATCACTAAGCTTTAAAGTATAAAATCAAGCTAAATCATGACTTTGGTCTTTGGCAATAGATTTTTGCAATACCAATGAAATGAAAAATGTTCCCATGAACGGGAAAGCAATTGAATTGAACTGAAAACCCAAACAATCAAGAAATAACCTGTAAAATGTTTCTGTGATTGCCATTGAACTAAGATAGTGACTGAATGTACGAGCAAGAGACAAAGCTTTAAAGAGTCATTTTAGACAATGTTGGCAAAACACTAATGGGGAGAAAACAATTTGCTAAATATAACAGTAAATAATAACTCAAGGTCATGTCTAGTAAATATAGCATAAAAAAATAGGGGAATAATAATAATAAACTTACAAAAAGGGCATGGTCGGGAGACTAATTTCTACTTTGGTTTTAATTGTTCAACTAACCAGTTTTCTATTTTCAGAAGTAGAAAACAACAAGAGATTTTTCTACTTTGGTAATATGAAGGTCGTCCGCTGCATAAATATTTTATCAATATACTTTATCATTTGTTTATAAATATAGAATGTGCATAGACCAGATTGTTCATATTAGCAGGATGGAGAAGCTTTAGCAAATAATGACGGTCGTCCACTACTTTGTGCTTCGTCAATGGCGTCTTCGTCAATCGTCCTCAGCTCTAGCTCGAAGTCTTCTGTCTTTCTTGAGTACTCCGTCACTCGTCCGCATCTCCATCGTCAATGCTCAATAGTCCTCAGCTCTGTCACTCGTTGAAGAGAAGAGAAGCTTCTTGACTCTACGTTGATTTATTTGATTAGGGATTTAGGTCTCTACTTGGGAGAACTGGAGAAGGAACGTAGTATTATAAGATGGGTTATTTTAATTTTGGGCCTTGGTATTTTAATAATTTCATTCAATGGGTTTGACCCTAAAAATTTACAAATTCTATTTCGATATTTCGGTATATACCGTACCATACCGAAAATTAACGGTATTTCGGTATATACCAAAATATCGAAAATTTATTCAAGTCCATACCTTTACCGTACCGAAGAGACTCGGTATGGTATCATGCCGTACCGAACTTTTCGGTATACCGAAAATTTCGGTAAATACGGTATTTTTCGATATGGTATGGCCGGTATACCAAAATTTCGGTATATTTTCCCATCCCGAGTCACTCCCAGTGGTATAAGAAGGACATGTACAGGCATCCTATGCTCACATGATGACACGAATTGCTGGTCCTTTGTTCTGGCCAAAGACTGATCTTAAAGTGTTACGTGCTGAATTGAAAACAAAAGAGCTAGGGAGGCCTGAGAAAAATAGAATAACAGAAATAGGTGAGTTTCTTAGAAGTGGGAAGTTGCCCAAGAGGGGTACGACCATTACTTGTCAACTTTGTTTCAAGAAGGGGCACAACAAAAAGGGTTGTCCAAGCAAAGAGCAGATTTTGCAAGGAAGTACAAAATTCCTTGCTGATATGCAATCTTAGACTACTAACCTGGGATCTACCCCTTCTGAAATCCAAGGTGGAAGCCTTGGAAGTCCTAACCTACCTAAAAGGACATGTGGAAACTGCTCCCAACCAGGTCACACTAAGAACAAATGTCCTCAAAAGAAAACCTCAAATCAGGTATTCATATAATTCAATCTAATGCAATTGGTGTGTGCATATTTATGTGTGAAGTTGTTTATAGTGTAGTAAGTGTTTGTATTTTTTTCAGGAGATTAACAATGCCAATGCAACTGCAACTCCATCTCAAGCAAATGTAGTTCCTCATACATTGCAAGCATACTTCTCAGACCAACAAGTAACAAATGACATAGTTAGTGATGGTGTATTTGAGTTTAGGGGCCAGAGATCCATAGGTGCTGCAGGGTTGGAGGTAATATATAACATTGTGATGGCATATATATATATGGTATTTTGTATTTCAGTGTTGTGATGGCATGCAATTATGGTATAAGTTTGATTATAATTTGTATTTGTACAGAGACTTAGGGCAAGGAATGCAAATGAAATCAATGGAAAAGCTCAAATCTTAAGGAAAAGGAATGTTGAAGCTTTGGAAGTCATTGGTGATGCCAGAGCACCAAGACAGAGGTTTCATGATTTGTTTGATTCAATGGAATACAGTAGTGAGAACTAGACTGGAACATATGTACTGTATTTATGTATTTCTTGTTGAAACAGTAAAATATTTTTTGGATGTTAATGTACATTTGTGTAGCATAGAGCTACGGTTTTGATTCCATGTTCTTGGTTAGATATTGTGTCGGTCATGGTTTTTGCAAACAATATGATGTTTTGATGAATTAATATGGATATTTCTGTTTATGGTATGAGTTCTTCTTTCAGATTGTGAGTGGAGTTATTAGTTACATATTGTAATGGTTTAATATGTGACATGAGGGTCATATTTACTAATTAGTTAGATATTGACTAAAGTTTAAGCTATGGGCTAATGAGCTTTAAAGTTCTGTTTAAAGCTGACTTAGAGTTTGAGGTCATTGTCCAGAACTTTAAATATGATTTCAACCTTGAGGTAAAGTATTCAGGTCATTCTTTGAGGTCATATACCACTCAAGCATGTTCAATTATCAGGCCAAATTAGTCTCAATGGTTTGAGTGCAGATTTGAATTGAACTTTGAGTTCATTATTTTGGTGTTTTCAGTTCATGCAATGAAGTAAATTAAATGAGAAAAGTGATCATACTTATCTGGCCGAGCTTTCGGAGGAGCCATTATGCGAAATACTAGAGGAGGTTTTCTTTGAGCTATTGCTTTTCCCCTCCAAGCTTCCTCGCCGTTGGATGCAGAACTCAAGGCCATCCAGTTTGCAGTGCGATGGGCTGTGAATGAAGGTTTCGAATCTTTTCAGGTGGAGTCGGATTGTTCATTGGCGATTTCTTATCTTTCAGGTAGGGAGTCGGATCTGATTCAGGAAGTCTCACGGTTGAAAATCAGGAAAGCTATTGTTTTCGGACATGTTTATAGGGAAGCAAACTGGACCTCTCACCATTTAGCTGAATTCTGGTCCTCTCATTTTATTACTTTTAGCAGCCCATCTGAATTGCCTATTTTTGAAAAGCGGGCTTTTTTTATGGACCTATTTGGCATTCCTTCCCTAAGATTTTAATTACCTTTCTTTGATTGATTGAATTTCTTGTATGATTTTTAAGGGAGGTTTTGGTCTGGTCCCCTTCTCTTTTGTACCTTTCTGATATTCAATAAAATCTGGCTAATGTTCCCTGGTAACCTGGCATTACCCCACTGATTTTGGTGATTTGCCTTCCGGGGTAAAAAAAATGAGAAAAGTGGTCATTCAAACAAACAGATTTGGATACTTGTGCTACATCACATCAAAGAAATTCATACACCCTAGCTTACATAAGTTTAAACTTATACATTAGAGGTAAGAACTAATACATGAAACCTAAGAAACTCATACATCAAACCTAACAAACTGATGCATTAAAGCAACTAAACTGACTGATCAAATGTAACTTCCATTCTCAACTAATCTGTGCGTGCATCACACATCTTCCAAGCAACCTTCTTC